TTGTCCGAAATGGTATAGGGTTTCCTGCCTGAGCAGGGGGTTCTGACTAGATGATCTCCAAGGTCCCTTCCAACTTTACTATTATTATTATCATTTAGTTGGGTAGCAGGGAGGGGTGCAAAGTTCCTGCCAATTCGCCTTCGCGGCAGACAAGTTACATGTGCAAAGTTTGCCAGCTGGGTCTTTTGGCGCGCTCAGCAGCAATTCCTATTGGCTTTCGAAAGCAATAGGGGAAGTAGCTCATGCAAAAGTTGAAAAAAAAAAACATAAAAAAGGTGCCAGAACGCTGTTCTGAGCATTCTATGAGAAAAAAAAGCCCTGCAGATTAGTCTTCAAATATCGAAAAGGAGGACATGTAGGAGGACACATTTCGAGGGAGGACAGAACTTAAAAAAGGAGGACTGTCCTCCCTAAAGGAGGATGATTGGTCACCTTAATCTGGGGTCATCTGGAATTTTGCAATCCAGGTATGCTATGTTTAATTTCTGAATTCATGGAACCACACAGAGATTCTTCATAAAACTGAAATTGCAAAATGTAGTTGCAGCTTTTTCCACAGCATTCACTGCTTGTTCTGATTCTATTTTGGTTTCTAAATAAAGTGAATGTATAATGGGAAGTGCATCACTGGCTCTTGTTTGTGTTGTCAATTCTCTTCTATTATTATTTGCAGGTGTCATTAGAGCGCCAGAATTATATTTGTCTCATGTCAGAGAATATTTACCTGGAAATATTTTCATATTTTTAGACAAGAAATAGCAAAGAATTCATAGAGATTGATTTTTGTAGAATACATGCTATAATAATTAAATCTGTGAGGGTCTTCAAGCAGCCAGGAGCTAGAATATTCTGACAATGTTCATTTTGAAGTGTTATTCTACTTGTGTTGGCAGATCTGAAAAAGTGATGCTTATGATTAAAATATATTTAATGAAAACACCTATTAAAGCAAAAAAAAAGTAAACATATTTTAAATATAATTTTCTATTCCTATTCAAACACAAAATTGTCATATTTTCAGAAAGGAAGTCCAGTCATGGGCTTTTGAACTGTAAGATAGAACCCAAAATGAATGCTCATAACAAAAGTGGTTTTTTTTAATTAATTTATTCCAATGAATGTTAAAGAAAGCTAGTTGCTGTTGTGAAATGTGGATGTGATTCCAGAGGGTCTGAAAATATCTTCTAAATCAACCACAGTGATTGCATATAGTCCCTGTCAGAAACAAAATGAATCACATTAATGATGTAAATCACATCATTTACACTGGGCTCATAGATGCTGCATTGTTAATCCCTAATGTGCAGTGTACATCAATTGTACAAAATATTGAATCTTATATAATTTGATGTATTTATTCCATTTCTGTAGCTGCCCTTCACAATCCAATTGGGTGGTGAACAAAATCACAATAATAAATATTATAAAATCACATAAAACCACAAAAATACTCACAAATTATACATATACACAATAGGAGATTACTGTACTAATTACATAAAAAATAACAGGGCAACCAGGTAAGGGGATCCCTAACACTTTCAGGACTCCAGGCTCGAGCACATAGCTACACCTTTAAAACCTTACAAAAGGCTAACAGAGTCAGGGCCACCTTGAGTTCTGAAGGAAGGGTATAAAAAAATGTTGAATGTTATATGCAAATTTTATCAGTGTACAGATCAATTATTTGTGTGCACCTAATAAATATAATATGTGAGCACTCAGCACTGCTAAAAAGATGGTTGGGGAATTCTAATGAATAAAGTTATTAAATAGTAAGTGCCTTTGTTGTAACTCTTGGTTAGAAGATTATATTAAATTTTACTGAACTATCACTGAAAAATGTAGATCCGTGTAGAGAGGCTTCAAAATTACTTGCCTTGCCTGCCATTAATTTTCTTTCATAAGAGGTACAGCAGCCTAGTCATAATGGTCCTGTCATTCATTTAATGTACCCTAGTGTATTTTGCCTTATTGGATCAAATCACGACCCATCTTAGTCTAGCCTCTTCTTCCTCTCAACCAGTTTCCTCTATAATTTTCACAAGATACTCCCTTGTTATTGTTGTTCCCCTACAACTCTAAGGTAAAACTGAGTCTTCTAGCTTAATGGCCTTTGATTCAAGTCCCCCATGATTTTAATCTCCCTTTAAAACTATGCAAATTATTCATCATCACCACATTTTTGGATGAGCCCTGGTCCTTCTTTTTAGAAAGGGAAAATGTTTCTCTCTATCAGTTTTCCTATTCTATTCTATTCTATTCTATTCTATTCTATTCTATTCTATTCTACTCTACTCTACTCTACTCTACTCTACTCTACTCTACTCTACTTTACTCTATGCTACTCATTATATATTTCTTAAAATAAACACACAAACATAAAGGGATGTGGAAATAAGATGAAATGAATTTAAAATTGAAACAAATGACACTCAGAGATTTGTTCAAATCTGTTTCAACCTTTCTAATGTGGTGATGCTTGCTAGCTTTTGTGGAAGAGAATTTCGACTTTGTGGTAGCTGTCAAATTTTTTGTCTGTCCTGAATTTCACAGGATTTCAAATGTTTGATGTCCCTGGATTCTTATATCATGGAAGAGGCAGAAAAGAACACTCTTATCTTGTTTCTTTTCAATAGAACAGATTTGTATAAAGACATTATGACATAGGCTCGCTTATTTTCAGCTTCCTAATGATTACTAACATGGAAATACTTTTTTTCTCTTTTTTTGCCACTTGCACATTATATTTTAATGTTTAGATTGAATTATACACCCAGGTGAATATAATGCTACAGGATCCAATCTGGGTTGGTCACTGGGGCCGGAAGTTTAGTCTTGCAAGCTTTCAGACTCATGCTGAAACCCACCCATCCTCAGGGAGCTTCTCTCTAGCAGACTGTGTGCTTTGGGCTATTCTGTGTGAGGTATTTATATGGTGCCTGTTGGGTGTGGCTTTTTAGATTTTGATTGGGGTGTTGATGGCTGGCTATTCAGATGTTGGTTGTTGTTTTCTTGTGCTGCCAAGTCCTTGCCCTTTAAGTACTTGATAAGCTGGTGGTAAATCAGCATTCCTGTTGATGGATGAGGGGTCCATTTCCCAGACTTCAATCACTTCCCTGCTGTTTTTGTGCCTGCTCATCCAACAATTTTAGTAGATGCAAAATTGAATGTATGTCTTTGTTCATTGCAATGTAAGACTACCTATGAGTTTGGGTCTCCTCATTTGATTGCTTGCTTGTGTTCTTGCAATCTGGTGGTTAGCTTCTCCTCATCTGTTCTATATAGTGACAGTGGCAATCCATGCAGGGGATCTGGTAGATTACATTGGAAGTATCTCCCACCTTCAAGCAATCTTTACAATGGTAGCATTGGAAACTGTGTTCTACTGCTTCTGAAATACTTTTGAAGTATGGCAGAGTGTGCCATGTAGTTAGTCTTGTACCTTGTTTCTTCCTTTCTTTTCCCACTGTATTGCACAGATATCTTGTAACAAATGATTGTAGGTACACATTCTGTCTGAATTGTTCATGTAGGTACCTGCCTCCAGCTGTTTGGCTGGCTGGCTACTACAGTGGGTTCTCACTCTGCCATATAGTGTTCTGATGCAAATCTTTTTGTGTGACAGTGGGTGGTTGTTGTTGAAATTCAGAATGCATGGCATGTTGGTAGCCTTGCAATAAATTGTGGTTTTTAGGCTTCCATCTTCTTGTCTATCTGAAAATGGTAATTGTCTAGCTGTTTCTTCCTCTATTGTAAACTGTATGTCAGGAAGATGGAGTTCAGTATGGTATGAAAGTCTTTCAGTACATTCAGTACATTTCTTTTGATGATGACAAAAATGTCATCCACGTAGCTGCACCAAAAATTAGTTGTGTAGTTCCGAAATGCGCGGTGTTCTAGTTCATGAAAGACTTTTCTGCAGTGACTCCTGATATTGGGGATCCCATGGGTGTCCTTTTTATTTGCTCATACATTTCCCTTTTGAATGTGAAGACATTATTGACAGTATTGGAGTAGCCTCGTGAATCCTGTCCCGGTTAGGTGTTTCTGATGTGTGTTGAACTGTGAGAGCCAGATTGTTGAACTAGATGTTTTGAAGTTCTTAAGAAATTTTGAACCACGCTAGAAACTAGGAGATGGAATTCTAGTCCCACCTTAAATCATAAGCATGAAAAGTAATAAGAATTGTATCGATATACTAAAACTATACAATTCTATATGGATTTGCATATTTACTTCTTAAACATATTTGATATTTCTATCTCTAGAATCATATAAATTAAAAATAATGTCATTTTAAAATAAAGTCTGAAATGGCGTAAAAAATAAAATAAAAATAATGATGAATCAAATTATATGTTGCTGGTTTATAGCTTCCTTACATGTTGCTTTCGTTTGATCCATTTTAATTTATTGCATTAAAAAACCTAATTGGTTCTGCATCACTTTAGATTTGATTCCAAATATTTTGTCATGAACATGGACCTGACTGCAATTCTTTCAAGCAGCTGCAGAAACCTAAGAAAAGAATAAGTGCATTAAAGAGGAGCAGATGGGGCCATTGGAATCAAAATGGAGGCATCACTAAACCCAACTCAGGGAATAACTATAATAACAATAACAAAATTCCCTCCATATTTTCTGGGAGTCCCTCAGATCTGGCTTTGTCATCAGGCTGGTGATCTCTGGGGATGGGTGAGCCCTTGATATAGATCCATTGCTGATCGAATCTCTTTTGTGTACTTTTTAAAAAATGTGATTATGTTTGACATATGTATTGTTTTTATACTTTCTTTTTTGTTATATGCTGCCCAGAGTCGCTTCTTGTGGGATGGGTGGCCATATAACATTCATAAATAAATAAATTTGGGATGGTCAAAAGGTTCCAAGGGATGGGTTTCTTTTCAATGCCATTCTTGTTTGTTCTGACAAGATTCAATAATATATGTCCATTTTTTTAAATAAAAAAAAATGCATGCAATCATTTTTTTTTTCAGTTGATCTTAAAAAAGGCTCAAGTCCAAATGCTACAAAATCAAATCTTCCAAAACCATGTCAGTCTGGACTTCGCCCTCCTGGTTATTCACGGTTGCCATCAACTAAACTCGCCACGTTTGGTTTTGTCAGGAGCTCCAGTGTCTCCTCAATCTCAAGCAAATCTAGTGACAGAGTCCAGAGTGATCAAAGCAAGACAGCCAACCGTAAGTCAGACAACTTGATTTTCACTCCTGATATATCTGTTGCAGAGAAACAAAGAGAAATAAAGAATACTACTTACTTCCTTGTTGTGTGTTAGCAGCACATTTCTGTTCGCTCTTGAATTTTATGACGTATATAATGTTGGACACATATTTTCTAATAATAAATTACCTGTATAGGCTTTTCTTCTAAAAGTTGCTGAATGGTTACAGCTGAATGGTTACATTTCATAACCACTTTTGTATGCAAACATTCTACATATATGTATGCATGTACACATACAGATAAATGAACTACTTTCAAACAGAAATAAACATAATAAATTTCTTGCTTCAGCACACTATGGTCAAGAGAAAAAAGGGCTGTTGTCTCTCTATATATATTGCAAAGAACCCTTAGCTGAACCTCACCTCAAATCTTATTTTCTGTAGTAGATGTTTATTTAAGTAAAGAATAACCACATGACACTGAGTATTCTCATTATGGGATCTATATGTTCCATGAACTCAGAGCACAAGGAAGGATTGTGGGTGTTTTAAAATGTCAGCTTCTCTCTTTGAAGACCAGAGTCTATTGGAACCATCTCAATTTCAAAGCAACTGTTATCACTCTTCAAGTGGTTCAGATTCAGGATGCCAGCTTATATAAAAGCCAGAGGCTTTTGAGTGATATAGAGTCCTAAATCTTTCAGTGTTTATGTTAATTTCAAATGAATTGCAAGAAATAAAACACAAAGTAGGTCACAATCAATCCCAAGGGCTTTCTTACATAATAGATTTAATAATTGGCGGAATCATCCAGACCCTTTGAGCTTAGCATCTTACTAAAATACAAATAGCCAAAGTACAAATACATGCAAATGCCTTTTGGTACCATCACACTTCTCTGATGCACACAGTAGAATGTGTAGAGAAAGTTCAAGGAGTTAAGAGAGCTTACACAAATTAAATGAGATTTAAATTTGTCAGGGTGGAAAACCTACCATAGTTCTTGTTGGAGTTTTGAGAAGTTGTAGTTCAGTAATATGTCAAATACTATGTATGGTTAGCTCATTCTGAAATATTAATTGCTTTTTCTAATTTAGCCTGTATTGCTCTTAATTAGAAGAGTGGCTGCTAGGTGTCAATTTTCTCAGTTTTTTTTTCTAACCTGTTCCTGCCACTATTAATTAATTGTCTTAGGGAAAGAGTCAAAACTACATTATTCAGGAAAGGAAAATGGAAAAAGTTTCCAGATGGACTTTTTTAAAAAAGCATCAGAGATCCTAATCCAGAATGTACTCCTACTGTAATCCATATTGCAGATAGGAAATTATATGAGGCATGAGAATCAGAAACATGTCCTGTAGCATTGTTCTTGTTTTTCTTTTCTTCTTTTTTCAGAATAAAGATGTTCGGTTCAAGTACATTTTGAAAAAGCCTGAATAATCTGTGCCTGAAATTTTTGAACTAGTTCAAGAAATTAGATTATCTTTACATTATTTATTTGTCTTACATTTAATTGCTGTGGGACAAGGGAGAGTTATTTATTTATTTATTTATTTATTTATTTATGAGACTTATATACCGCTTTAATGCAAGCACTCTGTAAGCGGTGTATACCAGTAAGCAATGTATATATATATTTACATTGCCCCCAACAATCTGGGTCCTCATTTTACCTACCTCGGAAGGATGGAAGGCTGAGTCAACCTTGAGCCAGTGAGATTTGAACCGCTGACCTGCTGAACACAGTCAGCTAAAGTGGCCTGCAGTACTGCACTCTAACTGCTGCACCACCTCTGCTCTTAGAATGAGATGCAATCGCAGAAGATAATTAGAGAAGTTGGTAAATTACACACAAAGTTGGCTTAGAATATTTGCATGAATCAAAATATTACAGGTAGTCCTCAACTTACAACTGGTAGTTTAATGACTATTCAAAGTTATGACAGCCTTGGAAAAAGTTACTTATGACCTGTTGAACTACCCCCCCCCCAGTCACATGATTGCATTTTGGGCACTTGGCAAGCAGCTCATATTTAAGACCAGTTATAACTTCCCACAATAACCTGACTGCATTTGTGACATATTTTGCTGTTTTCTGCAAAAAAATTCCACTGGATAAGCTGACTTTGGACTTAAACCATGTGATTCAATGACTATGGTGACTCATTTACTCAGCATGGGGACTAGTTGATGACTGTTGCAAAAAAACCGATCATAAAATCAAGGCCAGTAACATGGTGATTCAACTTATGACCCCAATTATTTACATCAAAAATTGTGGACTTAATTGCAGGTAGACGAGGCCAAGGTCTATCTATACTTTTGTCTAGCTACACAAGCTAGCAAAATTGCACTCCTCCCTCCAAAAAGAAGGTACATGCAATCCTTTGATTAATGTTATATGGCCCGTTATATGGTCTTTTGGAAGTAATCAGTATACGCTTCTTGTAAGAAGAGAAGAGATATGGACTTACTCAGTTTTAACTCTGGCTCCTCCCCATTACTTTTTCAGTAGCTATCATAATTGGCGTGTGGTCTTCACAATATATGTATGTGGTAATGCAGCCCTTGAGAAATAAAAAAAATGCTTTCTTCACATTACTTTAACTCTTTTCTCCTCTCAACAGCTCATCTGTTTATCTGAAATGCCCCAAATGCTCTATTCATCAAGATCTTGGCCATCATCTTGATTTTTTTTTACTCCTTTGCAGATGACCCTGGACACCAGGTCCTCAGAGAATTTTTCCTTCAATTTGTCTGAGTAGCACTATCAGACTAATATATAATTCCAGGAGCTTTATGGCTCACTTGCCATATCTTGGTGTGTTATGTGTAATTTTATCTAACCATCCAGCTATGCTAATTGCCAAACTTCATTATGACAGAAAAACATAAATATATGTGTGGCTGTTCTAAAGTGGGCTAGAGTTTGCTGTTGTTATATGTTGTGATTAGCATGCAGCTTTATATTCACAGATGCGATAAATATGATAATACTGTGATAAACAAACACCTTTTAAAGAACATTTTCTATTTACTAAGAATGATAGGAAATAAAATAATTCTGAATGCAGCACAAAGTGTATTTATTGCATTTTAGTAAATTGAGTTTTCAGGGAGGTTATCATTCAGTTTGATTGCTGTTCTTCTTGCTCACATAAAAATCAACTATGAATGTAACTTGTACCAATTAGTCAGAGAAATGGCTAGTGTTAAAAATTCTTGTTGGATTTGTAGTATAATGCTGTCAAAGATCTAACCAAAATATTCGAATAAGTATGGAATACAAGAATGTTACCACGTTGAAATATATAATATTTTATTAAATATCAGATTCTTTACAACTGGATATGGTCAGATAAATATATTTGCCCCTAAAAGGAGGACATAAGGAGTAAAATTAAATCAGTGCATTTTTCTGCTTGATGTGCAGTTCTCCAATGCAATAGAAAAACACCTTTTGTTGGCTAAGTATCCTGCTGCTTCTTTTACAGGACCATTAATCACCTATGAAAATGATGATTTTGGGGAGTGGGGAGATGGAAAAATGTTTTTGCTTCCTTTAAATGCCAGATGCACTTTTTTTTTTTCCTCCTCTTTCAGAGAAAAATAAATCTTGAAAGTATGGCATGAATGGCATAATTTCCTGGCTCATTCTAGAGCAACGGTTCTCAACCTGTGGGTCGCGACCCCATTTGGGGTTGAACGACCATTTCATGGGGGTTGCCAAACAACGCAGTCTGCCATTTTCCCCCCTTTTCCTTAGCTGTGCTACTCCCTGAATAGAGTCTAATTCTATTGGCTTTCAAAAGCCCATAGGAATTGTCCAGGCTGTCTCTGCCATGCTGAGCCCACCAAAAGTCCCATTCTGCAAACGGTGCTGCAAGTTGTCTGCAGTGAAGGGGAGCTGTCTAGAAGTTTCCATCCCTCCCTGCTGAGTAACTACTAAAAATGTAAGTAAAAGAGGGCCAGGAGTGGGGGGTGGGAGGCCGGTGGGCGCAGGGAGGATTGCTGGCTCGTGTGGGGCCCGGCGGGTGCCTTACCTCCCTTGGGCTGGGCCAGCTGGTGGCCCAGCCGGTGTCGCCCTGCGCCGTCACTGCCCCTTGCCAGCTACGCCTCGGCTGGCGCAGGGGGTGGCACCACGCATGCGCGGCGCTCCCGGGCAGGGAAAGTCCTCGACTTACGACTGGTTGGGTAGTCCTCGACTTATGACCGGTTGAGTAGTCCTCGACTTACGACCAGTTGGGGATCGCGGCATTAAAAAGGTTGAGAACCACTGTTCTAGAGTATCAGAAGCTGTAGCAAAGTTTTCTTGCTTAAAATATATAAAACAAAGAAAAAGAAAATTCTCAGCAAGAACTTTTTATTTTTAATGACAGTATAACATTTCTTAACTTAATGAAAGAAAATATAGCTATATGTGGACTGAGTATATATAGATTAAAAATGAACATACCCCACTGAGTAGCAATTGAAGACAGAAAACAGGAAGTTCCCCTACTTCTTTTTCTCATCCATAGGCTTTTATTTCTCAGACTCTAAAGATTTCCCCACTGCTGGGGTGATCGGGTTTTCCCAAAACCATTATTCAAACAGAAGGGTAATAGGCAGAGATTCAAGAACACAGCTCTTGGATAAGGTGCTTTCTTAAAGATATTAGAAAAGCTATTACAATGTAGAGATAGCAACAGCCAACTATAAGCTGATGGAAGAGATGGGATGGGATGGGATGAATTCTGGAAGCTGAACTCTTGAAATTCAAGCCTTATGCATCTTCTTCCCACTGTCATGGCATGAGAGCAGGTTGTTTATCAATGGGAAGGATCACTAACATCTGTGCATGATTATTGTAACAGATTTGTTTGGTCTCAAGTTCTTTGTACCTTATCTTGGTCCTTCTAATCTTCCTATGACTGCAAAACCTAGCATCACAAGATCATGGGCTTGGAAGGGACTTCGAAGATCTTTTAGTCCAATGGTTCTCAACCTTTTTAATGCTGCGACCCCCAACCGGT